CCATTGTGACCACCGTTCCTTCCTCTACAGGTTGACCGGAGCAAAACTCCAAATCGCGACTCTACCTGGAGGAGCCGCCGCACCGGAGAGCCCCGCCGCCGGTAAGTTTCGATTTTCGGTGTTTTTTTTGGCTCACTGAGGGCCCTAGGGGTATTTTCTCACAGGAACCAATGCAAATTGGGCCGAATATGGCCGAAAACGGCCAACCCGATGCAGATCGTCGCCACTTGCAGCAGTGCCGTGCCGGAATTCTGAAATTGGCCGAATAGGCCTTGGGTCTGATTTTTGAGTTATTTGGGACATGTGTAGGTACCGTAAGCGCGTTTCAGTTCCCGAGAAAAAATTTCAGAGAACGCAGGGATCGCCCATAGGCGCAGTGAAAATCCTGTTTTCGGTTTCGAATCAAGTAAGGACCCCTCACCCTATTTCCTATGATGGGATTAAAATTTAATAAATGATAAAACTGTATTTTATGAATTAAATAGATATACATAATTATTACGGTTGCTAATGGAGCCCCGAATCGGACATATTCCTCTGTTAGTTCCTGTTTGATTTATTTTACAGTTTAAATGTAGTATAGTATCTGAATTATTTATTTTATGGTTTTGAATGCATGAATCACTATTTACTTCATTACGGCTTGATTTTGTGAACCCGATGATATGCTTGCCTTATTGGATGCTCATTATTTGTTTAAGTATTCATAATTATGTGAAAAACAGAAAACTAAGGAAAAATAAAAAATGTATATGAATTGATAAATGGATAAGTTAACAGTCTCACTAGATATCCTAGGAGATGGTGGGCGGACCGGGTCCATAGGGAACCCTACCGGGAACATTGTCTCATACCGGGTGGGGTATGAAGACTTTAAATGTTTTGGCACTCATACCGGACGGGATATGTGGACGGCCCGCTTCACCCTCATACAGGACGAAGTATTGAGGTTTATTATTTTGGCACCCATACCGGACGGGATATAGGGACGGCCCTGAAATCAAGTTGTTAAAGTTAATGGTTCACGTGTACCGGGGACCCATATGTGGATCCTCATGTATACTGGTAGGCTGATAAAAGAGGGAAATTGTTGTTTGATGAAAATTATTGTTTGATGATTGAAATATAAAAGTATGACATGTGCTATGTTACAGAGTATGTATGAATTCATGATATCTTTGATGTTATTGTTTCTATGGGTCATTTTTATAAATCTCACTGAGCTAAGTGGACAGTAAAGGGTTTTATTATTGATTAATGAATTTGTTAAAAATTGTGCTCCATTGGTCGTTTTTGTTTTTTTACCAACCTTTACTTCTCTGACAGTGATATAGTGTGACGTCTTTACTGAGCTAGTATAACTAATTTCTTACTTAACTATTTCAGATCAGGAGGACTTGGTTCCCAAGTCTATTCCGCAGGAAGACAGCGAGTAGATGTCTAAATATTTTATAGTTTTCCTTATAATATTTCATTTTTAGTATTTCCTTTAGTTAACTTATTCTTTCATATTGTTAGTACGTTTCGATTATTGTATAAGGGATATTAATCAAAACTTTTATTTCGCTTCCGCACTCAAAATTTTTATATACATTTCCTTTTAAAATTTTCAGGATCGTTACATCATCTATCAAGCAAAGGTGCATAATTCATAGTTTTAAGTCATTAGATTCAGGTTACAAAATCTTACATAAATCAATTTATTCACATACTTCCTTCTAATTATAGATCACCTTTGTTCAAGTACACATTTAAAAGTCATCCAAATAGGGAATAGGCAGAAGATCCAGTCAGTTTTCTATTTGTCACTTCCAATGTCAAAAAAAAAAGATTAATCTATATTTATGTACACAAACATGCGCAAAATCAATTACGTTGAGACAAAATTTTACTATGAATACTTGGAGAGGACACGAAATTAACGTACAATAACTATAAGAATCTGTTTTTTAGAAAATTTGGGGAAAGAACATAGCAGAAAAAGCTTTCCAGAACATACCCTACAATACAGCAAAGCTAGCACACATGCTGAGAAAGACATCTGGTTTCTAAGCATAAAATTTGAAGCTTCCTTTCATCTTTTTGATAACTCTGGTTCTAAGTATATGGAAACCCAACACTTCGTTGCCTAAGGATTTCATTTTTGAGAATGAACTTGGTTTAAAGATAGAGGATAAGGTATATTGTAAAACCGTTATGTTTCTCACATTCTATTTCAGTTGATCCTGGGATTAGTTGCAATTGAATAAAAGAGATCTACAGGACTGAAAAGACATAAAATCATAAGCCATCACCTTGAGCAATCGGAGAATATGCTATCAAAGTAATTCCAAGCTCATCACAGGCAGCCTTGACACCGTTTTGCTCTGGTGCCCTGTATATGAGACTATAATTCACTTGGTTTGAAGCTAGAGGTATTCCTCTCTTCTTAAGCTTTTCAAAAGCATTACGAAGTCTCTTCTCTGAAAAGAACCATCTACATATGATGAATTTCTAAATGCAATTTCATAACTGAAAACGAATAAACACAGCATGTTAATATCATTGAAGCTAGTATACTAACCACACAAAGAAAAATGACAACGTATTATCCAGAATTAGGAAATACAGAAAACTCAATCGGCATGAACCAAAGATAACAAGCAGCTAAATTTAGAGATTACCATTGTAGTTTGAAACACCAATAGCCTTCACAAGGCCCTGCTCAACCGCATCTCCAAGACCATCAAGATATCCTGAAACAACAACCTATTCATTAACTCAGCTTCTCCTAAATCTCATCCGGAACGAGTTTATCAACACTCCAGTTCTACTAACTATAGACTCAGTTGTTCAAAGAAGCAATGATGTTAGTCATGAAAACCTTCATTTCCCCACACTCCAGGCCTGAAAGTCAAATCAAACAAGTTGATTAGGAACCAAGAGGTCTAAAACTAATTAAGCATAAACATGAGCCCTATGAAGCACAGACCAATGAAGTTGATAAAGTTCCACTGTAGATAGACCAAGCCGAGAGAGAGAATCCTTAAGGGCAGCAAGGACACTCTGACGTCCTAGTCTCCATGGCAATGCCGCAAACTTTGTTGCTACAGCAACTTCCACTTCCGGATTCTTTTCTTTTCTTTTCTTAATAAATCTTCAATGGTCATATATTAGATTGAAGACTATTAACATGAGAAAAGAATTAATAAAACTAAATTTTAGGTTCAGTAAGTCAGATAGGGAAACTGCAAACCAAAATGCTTACAGAATGTACCTTCCTAAAAGAGTTTCAGAATTTATAGCACCCAAAGAGAGCTGCAAGAACAGTTGCCAACAATTTCAAGGAAATTCAGAAGCAAAGAAGAATAAATAAATAAATAAAGAGCTGTTGCTCTCTCACCTTAGAGCCATAAACTTCAGCGGTATCAAAAAATGTTATTCCACTATCAATGCTGGTATCAAAAGCAGCCTCAGCAGCCTTCATTTTCTTATCTGCCAAATAACCGCAAAACATGGTTGAGCAAATTCTTAAAGTCCAGAATTATCAAGAAATAAATCAGTCTTCTCTTTTCAAAAAAAAAAAAAATATCATTTGCTTCGCTTCCTCCATATTAGACCACCAATAGACTTAGAAGAACAAATTAAGAGAAGCCAGAACGAAGAAAATTTGAATAACTGCAGCAGTCAAAGCAGTAACCCAAGCTGATTGATGTTCAATTTCTATTCTAAATCCCAAAGGAATCGTGATAATTGAAACATCAAAGGAGTAATTCAAGAACTGATGAATGTATCACCAAAAGGGAAATAACTGGTAGGTTACCATCCCATTCGAAGTTATTCCAGTAACTGGTGTCCCCCCATGACCAAGCTCCAATTCCAAGTCTGCTCACCTTGAGATCAGAACCGCCTAATTTCACTTTCTCTTCCTCGGCTCTCAAAGCAGCAAAATCTCCGGAAGCAACTGCTCTTACTCTCAGATTCCGTCTTTGGAATTCAGTGAAGACAGATAAGCAGGCATAGCTCATATTCATCGCCATTTTCGCTTCTTTTTTCTCGTTTCCTTTTCAGTTGTCCGAGATGCAGATTGTAAAGAGTATTGCAACTCAAAAACAGAGACTGTGAATGGGAGAAGTTAAAGCAGGAAGATTTCTGAGGTTGAAGCAGAAGGGAAGAAGGGAAACTGTATGGTGAGGGTGAGTAAGGACTTAAAACGAACATGAACACATAGGATAGCAGCCAGCTGGTAGATGGTAGGTGTAAACTGAAAAATCTAAAATAATAAAAATATTAGGAATTAGTGGATGTAATGTTTTGTTTTGCCAGATTTTTCTTCGTATTTGTTTTTTTCAAAAACTAAAAAATTTAATATTAAAATAAAATCAGAAATTAAAAATAGATGATTTTCAAAAGTTAAATAATTAATTTTTTATTAAATATATATATATATACTAATTTTATATTTTATTGGTTCATTCATTCAATATTTTAAATTAAAAATAATATTAATCTTTATTAATAATTTCAACTTATTATGAACTATTTAAATAATTATAATTTTAAAATTGATTGATAATAATTTAAAATTAATAATTACATTGAAAAAATTAATTAGAGAAATTTAAATAAGTATTTTAAAATAATGTAAATTGCTAGAAAATTTTTTAATATTATTTAAATAATAATATTTTAATGTTGTAAAACTGTTTATTATTTTAATGTTCTTTATTAATTTTATAAAATAATTTTATCTTATGAAATACTTTAACATCACTCTCACTCTTACTTTACAGTAATTTTTGGAAATTTATTTCCTTAATTGCCAATAACCTTTTGGAAATTTTTTTCCTTAATTGCCAATAACCTCCTTTCTTTCTTGAAATAATTTATATATATATATATATGTGTAACGACCCCGAAAATTCTAAAGAAAATAAATTATAAAATTAGTACAGAAGCGAAGTAAATAATTAAAGTTTACAATCGTTACACAATGACTTAAAGTACTAAGTAGGGATATAGAAATGACCCTTTTGAAAGAAATACGAAAAATTAAAGAAATAACCAAAAAATAAATACAATTGGCATCCTACTCGCAACTCTCTTGTAGATCGAGCTCTGGATTCTGGTTCTTTTAATTTGAAATGGTTAACAAAAGAATGAGCTACATTAGCCCAATAAAAATATCACGCTACTCACCGACATAGAAATGAAGGTTGGTAGAAATAATAAAAATAATTAATAAAGCTCTTAATTTAGCAAAATTATTTGTCATAAATAAAATCATTTATCGTCTACTTACCGTAACGAGATTTACAAAACAACATATAGAGATAATAACATAACACATCTCATGATTTTATATACAATTGGTTGGAACAACAATGTCCTCTTTTATCAACCTACTGGTATCCATGGGGGTTCATAGGGATGTCTCCACAACGCGTGAACCCTTTCCTTTAACATTTTTAATTAACGGGCCGTCCCCGTCCCCATACTCCGTCCGGTATGAGGGTGAAACAGGCCGTCCCCATACCCCATCCGATATGAGTGCCAAATTACCAAGCCTCGATATCCCGTCCTGTATGAGGCAACGTTCACGGTAGGGTTCCATATTCACCTGGTTCTTCCACCATCTCCTAGAGTATCCAGTAAGGCTGTCGTTTCATCACTCACATAATCACACAGTTTTTCGTTTATCTTTAATCTTTAGTTTCCCAATTCAACCGTAATCACATAAAACAAACAATACATGCATTCAAAACTATAAAATCGATCAATCAAATACTATCATGCATTCAAACTATAAAATCAATTAACATAATCAACAGTAAATAATTTCGAATTCTGCCTCCATTAGTACCTCGTAATTAATTAAAGATATTTCCTAAATTGCATAAAATACTTTATTATTGTTAATTTCACTTCAATTCCATAACAGAGAATAGGACGAGGGATTCTTACTTAAATTGATGTCCGAATGCTAACTTATTGACCACGGCTACTGACAGTCCCCGGAATCCCTGAATTTTTCTTTAGGGATTAAAACGCGCTACAAGTACCTAAAAATATCCCAAAAAATCCAAAATCAATATCAGGACCCCTTTTTGGCCAATTTTGGAATTCTGGCATGGCAAATCCGCCGTGCTCCGGCGACAACAACGGCGGTTTACCTCGAGTTGGCTGTTTTTGGCCGTTTTTGGTCGAATTCGGCCGGTTTTACATCAATTCCTGTGAGAAAACACATTAAGGGGACTAGGTTGACAAAAAAAAAATGAAAAATCGAAACTCACCAGCGGTGAGGTTCTCCGGTGCGGCAGCTCCACCGGCTCACCTTTGCGGTTGGGTGTTTTGCTCCGGTCAACCTATAGAGAAAGAAACGGTGATTACAATGGTGAAAGAATTACGCATAACAAAAATCGAGAAGGGCCTCATCGGAGGCAGTTTTTGTAATTTTCTACAGTAGTGCCACCAGACTTTGCCTTTCTAGTCAATCCGCTGGTTTTTTTGCTCTAATTTGCCTATGGGAGTGTTTAAAATTGAATTCTATGCAAAGAGAGAAATTTTTACCTCTTTTGGCGGTCGGAAGTGGCTCCGGCACGGCGATGGGTGGGGGTGGCTTCCCTTCCTGGCGGCTGGGTCTTCTTCTCCAACGAGGGTGTCTAGCGACTAGGGTTAGAGTTTGGTGTGAAGAGGGTTTTTTATATTCGTCCCCTTTTAATCTGAGCCGTCCATCGTAATTGATCTGGACCGTTCGATCGCGATCAAATAAGAAGTGAATCTGACCGTTGATCGCGTTTAAATCTAACCGTCCGATCGTGTCTGGGGAGAGAACGCATCTAGGCCGTCCGTACGCGCGAGAGCGAATCTGGACCGTCCAATTGTGGGCACGCAGATCGCCCACGTGACACCACATCAACATCCCTTCCCACGCGGCGCGTTCTGGTTCGTTAGAGCTGTTGATTGGGCATCATATTTGGCACAACTTTTTTAAACTGCATTTTGACCATCAGTTTCTGATTTTTCTTTTAAAAATACTCCCAGAACCCAAAATTTCACCCATTTTTTCCAAAATTATTTTCAATTTCATCCTTCACCTATTTTCCTTCATTTTTACATTAAATTAAAATTAAAAAATCAAAAAATTATATTTATAAATTAATTTTAAATTACATTAAAATTAATTTGGGTATTACGACTCTCCCCCCTAAAAGAAATTTGGTCCCTCAAATTTATCTCTCTCTCACTCAATCAAACAGTTAGGGATATTGGACTCTGAAGTCTGATTCTAGCTCCCATGTGGCCTCGTCCGATGTGTGATTTTGGCATAGAACTTTAACAAATGAAATTTTTCAATTGCGGAGTACTTTGCTCTTTCGATCCACGATGCCGACCAGTACTTCCTCGTAAAACAAATCCTCTTAGAGGGGAAGAGGCTCGTGGGCCAAGACGTAAAAGGGGTCCGGGTTGTTCTTGCGTAGCGTGGACACATGAAACACATTATGGACCTTGAAAGTTCTGGAGATAGTGTCAGTCTGTAGGCAATTGTGCCAATTCTGTCTAAAATTTTGAATGACCCAATAAACCGGGGATTTAGCTTCCTTCTCTTGCCAAACCTACAGATTCTCTTGAAAGGAGTGACCTTAAAGAACACCCGATCGCCTTTCTCAAATTTCAAATCTCTCCTCTGGGTGTCCGTATAACTTTTCTACCTACTCTGAGCCGTCTAAATGTTCTTCCTGATCTTAATTATTTTGGTTGTAGTCTCCTCTACGAGATCTGGGTCGAACAGTTTTCTATCATCCACTTATTCTCAACCTATCGATAATCTGCATGGGCGGCTACAAAACACCTCGTATGAAGCCATGCCAATATTTGTTTAGTAACTGTTGTTGTAAGCGAACTCTATCAGGGGTAGATGGTCATCCCAATGGCCCCCGAAGTAAAAAACATAAGCTCGGAGAATATTCTCGAGTGTGCGGATCTTCTTTTCTAACTGTCCATCGGTCTAAGGGTGGAATGCAGTACTAAAGGACAGTTTCATTCCCATTATTTGTTGAAAACTAGACCAAAATCGAGAAGTAAATTTGGGGTCCCTGTCGGACACTACTGTCACTAGCACTCCATGTAATATGACTATCTCCCGAATATATATTCTTGTTAACTTGTCTAAGAGGTCGGTCATCCTTATGGCCAAGAAGTGGGAATACTTGGTAAGCTGGTCAACAATTATCCAGATGGTATCATGTCCTGAGCGCGTCCTAGGCAATCTTGTCACAAAATCTAATGTGATATGTTCCCACTTCCACTCCAAAATTGGTAATGGCTAAAGTAGCCCACCTGGGCATTGATGCTCTCCCTTGATCTGCTGACATACCAAACACTTAGAAAGAAAGTCAGTCACATCTCTTTTCATCCTGTTCCACCAAAATCGGGGTCGCATACTTTGATACATCTTGGTGCTTCCATGATGCATGACAAATTTTGAGCTATGGGCCTCTGTCATGATATACCTTTTTAATTCACTATCACTTGGAACACACACCATGTCCTGAAATCTAAGCAACCCATTGGTAAAGACTCGAAAGTCTGAATTAACTCGCTGTTCTGCATCTTTCTTAAGGGCTACTAAGGTAGAATTGGTGGACTGAGCTTCTTTTATTCTTTGGATCAACTTAGATTGAACAGTCAAGTGGGCCAAACACGTGACTCTCTTCAGATCCTGAAGTCGTACCTGTTGTGTGGCCCCTAACCCTGCATTTTGAAATCATCAAGTGAGCTAATATGCCTATATTTTTTTTGCTGAGTGCATCGGCTACCATGTTGCCTTTACCCGGGTGATATAAAATGTTGCAATCATAGTCCTTTAGGAGTTTTATCCACATTCTTTGACGCATATTGAGATCTTTTTGAGTGAATATGTGTTTCAATCTCTTATGATCAGTATAGATCTGAAAGGTCTCCCCATACAAGTAATTGCGTCAAGTCTTCAAGGTGTGAATAATTGCAGCAAGTTCTAAGTCATGGGTGGGGTAGTTTTTTCATGACTCTTCAACTGCCTTAACCCATAGCCTATGACCTTCTCATGCTGTATCAAAACACAACGCAACCCTAGGTATGAGGCATCACTATAAACTGTATATCCACCCAATCTGCTCGGCAAGGCTAACATAGGTGCGGTAGTCAACTGTTTTTTTAGTTTTGAAAAACTTCTTTCACAGTTCTCATTCCACTCAAACTTGATGTTCTTC